TGCAGTTTCACTTTGGATACTCATTGTCATTGAGTTAAACTCAAGTCGGTTAGTAATCTTTGACTCGTTGAGAAAAGAGCGGGCACTATACCAAGATATGATAGACATTATCCAGGGGTAATTTCGATCTCTCGCGCACAACTATTATTGAATAGACTTTGCCATAATTTATTAATGATCGTACATTATTGATCGCACAGGGTTTGGAAAGAGTTTATTCGGCAACATCGCAAGGATTGCAAGGCACCACTTAATGTAGTTGAAATACCAGTAAGTTGTACTATATACACTTTCCCACGTGTTTAATTACTATATCGTACTTCAATTTATGTGTGAGATGATGAGAATAATCTTCTTCTCGTACAATGGTGTTTGCGGCAGCAACCAGGTAATAACTTGTGTGGATACTACGTTTGTGAATTTATCACTGCGCACATAAGAAGAACTCCTGAAGATGTCCTCAGAGTACGTATATATCAATTTTTTATTTATTTTTAAATGAATATATATATATGTATTAATACTTTTTTTTTATTTCAAATGCAAGACTGAATGGTTGAAACGAAGGGTCATGCAAAAAGATTATCTGAAAGCAGTTCAAGAGTCAATAGCAGGATTTCTTGTAGAAAAAGTGCTAAATCCCAACGGCGAGTTCTACTTTGATCCTAAGGAATAAATGATGTAAATTAAATGTTTATTGATATCGTTATTTTCGAGAACAAGATTATGAAAGTGTTGTATATATACATATATATATCTATAATATATATAGGTTCATACTTTATTCAAATATAATAATGCTCGAGATGAGAATTAGATGTAATTATATGTGTGCGTGTATTTATATTAGCAGCATAGAATACGTACATAAAAACATATATAAACATATTATATATTAAACAAATACGTGTAACTGAACTGAAAACAAATTAAACAAAGAAAAAGAAAAAGAAAAGGAACCTTTAGTCCCGGTTGGAGTTACCAACCGGAACTAAAAGGTCCCTCTTTAGTCCCGGCTCGATGACCCGGGACTAAAGGTGACCTTTAGTCCCGGGATCGTTGTCCCGGTGCAGTAACTGGGACTAAAGGCTGTTACCGTCAGGGAGAACAAGTCCATTCTGTAATAGTGATACTGTGATACACACCGCATGCTATCTATTGGTAGCAACTACTATGTATCAGACATTTTCACCAGGAATGGGTAAAGTAGCAATAGATTAGGTGATTATTAAGTATAAATATTTACTATTTGTTAAACAACAATTGTTGAGAAGGTGTGGGATTAGGCACTTGATCGATAGATTCTACCTCATGGCATTTAACTCATAATAAGGAACAACACGATAGATGCTTTGATGTGGCGATTTTATTAAGGGAGTGCCCGATTAACAATTGCTATTTTGTGAGGTTCTTCTGTCAATCATTTTATTATATCAATGATGAGTCTTAAGAACCTCTACAAAAATATCAAAAAGAACAACTAACAATAAAAAATGGCTCAAAAAAAATGAGGACAAATGAGTCCAACAATAGAGAAACGCACACTGCCGTACTCGGCTTGGCGGATCCCAAGGCTACACAGGATCATCTCATTGAGCAGATGGCGGAGGGTAATGGCGTCATGGGTCGGAGTTGAATGCGGAGTTGCCCTTCGTGAGCTTTGTCCTACGGTTCTGCATGACCAGGACAAGCGTCGCGGATGTCTGTATTAATTCAAGGCCAACCTCCGCCGTGCTTGGGGTTCCATCAGCAGCTCTGTCAGTGTCATCTACCTCTCCCACAGAGCACCGCCAGTGAGAACACGAACTAAGAACACAACACACGTGAATACTTGGAACACGAGAGTGTTTTGGTGCTGCAGGAAGCGACATCTTTTCTATTCTTCTTCTTCTTTCCATTCATTCATAACTACAACAAGCACATGAACAATTCACGTCATGGACAAGCGCGTTCATCAGCACGCTCCACGACGCATTCACATCCGTGAGCCCAGGCACGATGGCGAGCGATTCTCACCGTGGCCTCCTACGTGCGCACGGTGTCCACAAATCAGAATTCACACACAGGTAACAAATAGAGAATGCAAACAAGCATCTAGCTAACTAACATGGTCAAATTTTAGCTAACAAATCTCTCTCTAAACCTTGCACACTTGCTTTACATCAACAAGGTCAATAATGGAGCACAGTTCGCAAAAATGGTCACGCCCCAATGCCCTTAATAGGATGCTCACCAGCTGCTCAGCGGTGCCTATGGAGTCGACCTTCAGGGGGGCCTTGCATCCAGAACCTGGAAATCCAAAATAAATGTCTGCTCAATAAATGGTTGTTCAAGCTTTTGAATAAAAATGGTATTTGGCAAGAACTTATTAGAAACAAGTATATTAATAATAAGACTTTATCTCAAGTGACTAAGAAACCGGGGGACTTTCACTTCTGGATGGATCTTATGGGGGTAAAAGAGTAGTTTCTGAGATTATGAAGATTCAAGGTCTCGGATATACCTGGCCATGCAGCCCGCGGGCTAGTGGCCCGGCAATTTGGCCCGGCCCAAGCACGGAACGGCCCGGTGGCCATCGGGCCTGGGCCGGCCCGGCCCAAAGGACCAGGACGTGCCTGGGCCGCCACCTAGGCCTGCGGCACGGCACGGGCACGCCCTGGTGAAAGAGGCGGCCCGGTGCCTCCAACGGCTAGTGAGGCAGGCTGCAGGCAGCCCAGCCCACGAAGCCGCCTCCCCCGCGGCCGTATATATGCTGCCCCCCCCCCCGATCCCTAACCCTAATCCCACTCCACTCCCGCCGCTCGCAGTCGCAGTCGTCTCGTCTCGCTCGCTCTCGATCCGCTGCCTGGAGCTCGCCGCCGCTCGCCTTGAGCTCGCCGGCCCTGCTCCGGATGACCTCGTCGCTGCTCGTCCACCTCGACCTGAGTTTGCTAACCATCTCCTCCCTCCTTTCCCTTCCTATCCCCTCTTCCCCCCTCCTCCTGTGTACCATGTGAGTTCGTCGTGTCTGTCCTTCCGCCGCCGCTCGCCGTCATTCTAACTATTGTCTGTCTCCTCCTCTAGCTGCCTCCCTGGCCTCTTCTCCAGCACTGGGCTCCGGTGGCGCAGGTTTGTGAAAATGGTGATGAAAATGATGGAATCTTGTTCAAAACTGGTGAAAATGAAGAAGTGGTTCAATGATTCGGTGAAAATCTGGTGAAAATGAGATGTTTTTGGTTGTCGGGCTGTGGGCCGCAGACGACGGGGAAAATGGCCATGCTCAACGGGCGGCACGGCACGGTCAGACGGCCCACGGGCCGTAGGCCAGGCACGAAGCCCGTGGAGGCACGGCACGGCAGGCACGACGGCCCGTCGAGGCAAGACCCCCATCGGGCCGGCACGGCCCGTTGGCCATCTATAGTCTCGGATGGCTCCCAAACCAGGTTTTGGGAGGATCGTTGGCTAGGGAGAGTTCCTTTGACAGAGGTTTATCCTTCCCTATACAGTATTGCCCGCATGAAGCAGTCTACAGTGCTAAGGTTCTACGGTCAGTACCAATTAACATCACCTTCAGAAGAGTGTTAGTGGGAAATAAGTTGTTGGATTGGCATGACCTAATTGGTAGGATTGCGAGTATTAATTTACAGGATGGCAGGGACTCCTTTTGCTGGGACTTGCATTCTAATAGAATGTTCTCGGTCAAATTCATGTGTGTGTACCTAATAAACAATGGCCTCAAAGTCTCTCAAGACATTTGGCGTCTTAGAATTCCATTAAAAGTTAAGATCTTTATGTGGTTTCTAAGGAGAGGGGTAATTCTAACAAAAGATAATTTAGCTAAACGAAATTGAAGAAAAAACCGAAATTGTTGTTATTGCTCTAAATTAGAGAGTATTTAACATTTGTTTTTCGATTGTGTGATGGCCAAGGCCTTGTGGCGTGCTATCCATATGGTGCTTAGTTTAAAACCACCGACGAGTACACGAAATATTTTTGGTGCTTGGCACAAACAAATTAAAGGACCGGAAATGGTGACCAGAGGGGGGGTGTGAATGGGAGCCTCAAATTTCTTTCGAAACTCTAAGCCGTTGTCCCAAAATCACAACCCAAGAGCAAACGCACGTGAGATCGGTATGATCACAAGCCAATGGGTGGCTGGGTACCTTTGATGATGACCAAGAAGTACAACGGATCAACCGAGAACCGAGAACCGACAAACAAGAGCTCGAAAGAACAAGAGAAAACAACACAATCTGCATAGGCCCGGACTGTCTGCCAAAGGGAGCCCAGACTGTCTGCGGGTCAGGTCCTAGACTGTCTAGGGTTGAGGGTCGGACTATCCGGCATTCAACTCCTGAAAACCAAACGATGAGATACAGTTCTGACCTGGATAGAAAGAACAACTGCGGACTGTCCGCTGTTGAATCCAGGACTGTCCGCAAGTTAAACACCAAAAGCGAACTTGCTGAAACAGTTCTGAACACGCTTCAGCAGTAGCCCCGGACTGTCTGCGGTGAGGTCCCGGACTGTCCGGCGTTTAGAGCAGTAAAACACGACCAAAAGGGACTGTCCGGGGGTAAGGGGCGGACTGTCCGCGGGTCGCGAAATCAGCATGAACAGAGTCACTCGAAAATCGCCCGAAGCCAGGAAAATCCCAATTTGCGGCCAAATCAAAACCAATTGCCATCAAATTTCAATCATATGGTCACAAGGCAATAGGTGAGCTATCCCCAAGATATTATTGCCCAATTTAAAGCCAATCAACGGGAAAACAAAGGAGAACGAAAAACGCCTAAAAAGCACCCCACGAACTTGATTCATCCCGATCTATGAATTCGTGAGGATTCGGTCAAATTCCTCCGGTGTAGAAAATCAACTCACGTCATAGTTCACCCCAACGCACACAAACACAAATCACAAAAGCATCTCACAAATTTTGTGTCAGAGAGAAGAATTAACCGACAAAGAATGAACAATATATGGTACAAGAAAGAAAACAAAACTGTCACCTCTCTATCACGCTAGACCTGAAGAAGGTCCAAAACCTGTAAAAGTGTAGGCCTGAATCTCCTGATATTCAGTTTCACATCCTGTGCCATAAAAATGTCTGCCAATGCATTCCATCCTTGACCATGGATTGCCATGGGATCCTTGAACACCAAGTGGTCTCTTGGGTACCTCTGAGCAAGGCTGCTCTCTTGTTCGGAGACGTAGTACTCCAGGTACCTCAGGTTCATGCCACGCGCTGGCTGCCCGTAGAAGTTGGTGGCCATCCAGTCCATCTTCCCCCATGGAACTATCTGGAGCACCACCGCCTGTGGTGGGAGAAAGACCTGGTTGGTGAGGCCGGCGCCATGGACTGCTAGGAGCACGTCGCACGAGTTCACCATTGTTGCAAACCTCTTCAAGTTTCCCCTGGCCTCGGAGACGATCACGTCAAAGCCTAGCGCCCTTGATGTGGCTGCCACTTGGCGAAGGTTCAGGAGCTTCCTCGTGCCTCGCCTTGATATGATCAGCATTATTGGTTTCTTACCAGGCTGCTCACCAAGGACCAATGGCCTGTCCCTTTTGAGGCCATATGAGTGGCGCAAGAACCTTGTGAAGTCAAGCGTCGAGTACCCCTTTGGGTTTCTCGTGGAATGTGGCCGAAGGATGAGATCCCTATCCCTTGTCAGGCCGACGCTTACATGCTGAAAACAGTGGACATCCTTGTTAGAGTCAAAATCAATTATGTCATGATGCGATAGCCTCCGTAGCACCGGTTTATACTTCTGAACCCACCACTGCTTGTAGTCGGTAATGAAGAATTTTACCCGTCCTTTATGTTGAAAGGAAGTTAGATATAGCGGGATCAGCACATCTGACATGTCGTGGAAGAAGTTTCCGGTATAGCCACCAACTGAGAAGATAACTGCTGGGACATCATGGCTGATGCTGCATTTGGGAGCATCATTTTCACTTGCAACTGCTCTGATGACCACTTCTCTTACAAGAGGTAGCAAGGATTCGTCCTTGCGAGCATATGGCGTAACCCGCCACCCTTCCTCGCCTTGTTGCATTGGCGTAATAAGAGCAACTGATGCGCTTTCAGGAGAAACTCGCACATCACCAGACATTTGGCAGATGATTGGCCTTGCATAAGGGAAGCCCTCATCTTTACTCTTGTCGTCACAGTATATCTTGCTCTTAGGCTTTGGAACTTCAATATCTGTAACTGCTGGAAAGGAAGAAATCAAAGGAAGACAACTTTTTTGCTATATTATGCGCTGCCTGATAACATGTAACTCATTCATGTTTGAAATTTGGCAGGATGGTGACTGTCAATAAGTCATCAATAAATCATCTGTATTGCAGTGGTCATCTCACCTGATTGTCGGGAACTCATGACAGAGTTTTCGGGTGGGGAACTAGCGTTTGTTGAAGATATAGTCAGCCCCTTCATTCCTGATTTATTATCCAAATCTGTTATATGCTTGGAGTCGCTGCTTTCAACTCCAATATCTGCAGAGGTCATATTTGGATTGTAAATAACGATTGAAGGTAGAATGACAGAAAAACTTCTGAGCCTTTTTAAGGTCCCTCCCAAGAATGTGTGCATCCAGGGTCTCCGTCCATCCTAGTCAACAACTGAATGCGCAGAAGATTATCATAAAACAAAACAAAGCTAATGAATAACACTCATGGCTATCCTTGATGATACATGTATCTAGACTCGAGAGTTATACATTTATGCATAACTTCGCTTCTCTGCAAATTAACTCCTTCAATTTCAAACATACTGTTGATACAACATTTACTATTTCTCTCTCCTTCCAAGTTCCAATCCAATTTAAACAGGCATAGGAAAAGGACATAGTTGGCGGTGACAAACACAAGGTCCTTGCAACTTTCAGCGACATCTCAGGACAATGCACCCCTAAAACCACCGAATTCCTTAACGGCCCTGTATCGTACTAGAACCGGGAAACTACTGCCACCAAATGCATGATTGAGGGGAGGGCCATACCAATTATAGAGCTGCAAGGTGGTGGGCCCAGTGATGAGAAGATCAGAAGATCCCAAACCTAGGCATGCACTACAGTACTTCCATTGCACTGTCCCTGATCACGATGCAATGCAACCAGTGTGGTCCAGTCCAGCACACTTGGGTGCCACTCACTCACAAGTCACAACCATGCGATGCGAGCAGTGATCTGGCTGGACAGAGGCAAAAGGGAGTGGAGCTGTCTCCTCACCTAATTCCGGTGAACCCCTGACAGGATCAGCACCCAATCTTGCAGGAACCCGAACACTGGGCTCTTGAAGTCGATGTCTGTCGTCCACAAAGCCCTTCTGCAAGGAGGTCAGAGCTCCAGCCGCTGTTAGTACAAGCAGAAGCAGCCTCTTTGAGATCAAAGGAGTCAAGAACTGAAGAGATTAATTGGAGAAAATGAAGAACCTCAAGGATTCTTGATGTCCCCGCACCTTCAGTATCGTCAGAGCTTCCCTCGGCAAGAGGATAAACTCCATTGCCAGCTACAAGCACAAGCACAGGGACATATATGTCAAGTCCTAGAAGTCAACTAATTGTAATTGTAAGATTTTGTTTGAGTGTGATCTCTGACTTACGCGAGAGTTGTGATGGCAGGACGACGGAGAAGAGCCTGGCCGAGCAGATGCAGAGCACCGGGGCGAGGAGGCACGCCGCGAGAAGCCTGACGGCGAGCTGCCTGTGCCTGAGCTCCAGCTTGGTCGGGCTCCTGGCGGCGGCCCTGGTGCCGTGCCTCGGCTTCCTCGCGCCGACGGCTCTGCTCTTGCCATGCTGCACCAGGAACGCCATGGCTCAGGCGCTCAGCTAATCATCAGCGGCAGGTTTTTGGGAGGGAGCCGCGGAGTAAAAGAGAATTAGAGAAGTGAGGGGTGTTGCGAGGACGTGGGGTGTACGTGTGGCATTGCCACATGTACGTGTGGCCGTGTGGTTGGGTTCGGGCACAGTGGAGAGCGTGGGCACTGGGCAGGGTGGAAAGCGGCCATTATTGTGAGCTCGCGTTGCGTCAGTTGATTTATTATATTTATATATGCTTTAATGCTTCTTCAGTTGAGGTGGGTTCAACAACTTAATAAATACTGTGCAGTTACTACTAACTAGAAACAGTGCCAAAGATTATGCATTTTTGTTGTTCTTTTTTTTAGGTGTCTCTGGACAAGGAGATGATGGCAGGAGGGCAATTCTCTTGGTAAACCTGAATTAGATGTGCTAATAAGAGGAGCAGCGACGTAACAGATTGTATGCCATTCTGAAATTGCTGTTCTCTAGCGGTCGGCAGCGCCACCTCCGCGGATGCATGTGTAGTGTAGCGTCGGCTTCCCATGTGGTTGTTGGGCAGCAAAGCTTAGACCTGCTGCTGGTACGTTGCGGCGGCTGGCCCCTGTCATCAGCTCCTCCCCCTTGTTCCTTCTTTACAACCAACGATAATCGTTTGAAATCTTATGTCGCTGGGCTTATAAGCAGTACTTTTTCAGTCAACGAACAATATTTTTTTTTAATAAATTAGTCAACGATACTTTTAGCCATGACTTATCAGTCAAGAAAAAGTCATTAAATTTCGAAGGGGTCTATCACTCTATCCATCTAAGCGCATGTGAGAGAGATGCTAGTAGTTTCGTACATGGTGTATGAGAAGGAAAGTCCAAAGGCATGTGCTTCCCAGACCGATGAAACAAAAAACTGTCCTGGCGCACTAAGAGTCAGACCTTTGCATGGTGCTGTCGGCAGGCATCCATTCCAAGAATTCATTCCATATCTACCAACACCTCAGTCTACAGCCTCTAACTTAATTTTTATAGAAATTTATATTTATATATTTTCATAGTTAATATTACAAACAAAAAAATATGATCTTGTTTAAATCCAGGGGCTAAAGTTTAGAGATGTCACATGAGGGTGTTCGGACATCAATAATAAAACAAATTACACAAGTCCTCAGTAATCCGTGAGACGAATTTATTAAGCCTAATTAATCTATCATTAGCACATGTGTTACTGTAGCAACACATTGTCAAATTATGGACTAATTAGGATTAAAAAATCGTCTCGCAAATTAGTCGCAATCTATGCAATTACTTTTTTTAGTCTATATTTAATATTCCATGCATGTGTCCAAACATTCAATATGATAGGGAATAAAGTTGAGGAGGAAGAACAAACAAGGCCATATATTCTCTTCCATCTCATTCTCTTCCTGGTCTATCCATCCCACGCTCATCTTTCATCTCTAGGCCCATCCCTTCGAATTTAGAGCATGTCGATCCATCCCTTACTTCTCTTTCTGTCACTAAGTCCGTTCCTTAGTCCATCGCTTTGAATTTGAAGCACAATCTATTTACCCCTCACTTTTCTATTCCTTGGTCTGTTGTTTTTAAATTTCGTGCCACAAACTCTTTGTTAGCACCACACCACTCATGCCATGGCTTTAGACGCTCGCACAAGTTGTGGTGTGCATGCGGATATGCAACTTATCATCTACCTTTTTTTAAATCACAATAGGTGCACAAAATGGTCACCCTTCTAGGTTGGGTCAATCTCTTATCAATTTCTCATATGAGATTAACCATTTATTACACTAGCATTTATTATGGATCTTGGAGTATATTTAATTTAAGGTTGGGGCAAGCCCAATTAAAAACAACAAAAATAGATGCTATACAAGCACCATACACAAATTGTATGTCATGTTGTGACTGAAAGTCTCAATTTGATTTTGGTAATTGAGCGACAATCTTAGGTGGACTAATATGTTTTATGATGAACAGGTATTTCGTCCACAGATATACTAGTGTGAGCAAGACATAGAAGCATGGTGGAGAGATAGCTTGTGCATGTTGCAAGTGCTCAACCAGTGAGGTTCAAGGAGCTCATTGCATATAAGACACGATATGGTGTCATATGGCTAGATAGAGAAGATCAAGAGGCGAGGCTTGGCTACAAAGGTCCAGGTTGTAAGTGTGAAGGGCAAGCTAGAGGCTCACGAGCAATTGATTGTCGAGGCGGTGAAGATTGAGTAGAGGGCTTAGCGTTGATGGGCCAAGACAAAGGTGAAGTTGCCAAACACGATTAAAGTTTTTTATGTGGATGGCAGTTCAAAATAGACTCCAAACTGGAATAAATTTGAAGAAGAAAGAGTGGAAGGGCACTAAGAATTGTTGCTTGTGTGGTAGCGAGGAAACTGGGGATCACATTTTCTTCAACTGTCATATCTCTAGGATCATTTGGTACTGCTTCAAAGAAGCACTAGGATGGGATAGGGCTCCTAAGAATATGCAAGGTGTTTTTGATTATTGGATACCTTTGGGGTGTAGTGATTACCATACAAAGCTCCTTATGTTCTCTATAATCTTGTGGGGTCTATGGACTGTAAGAAATAAGTTGGGGATTGAAAAGTTTTTCCGCGCAATTATAAAGAGGTTTTCCACAAAATTCACGCTTTTATGCAGAAATGGCGCATACTACTGAAGGAACAGGCTGCCCAATTTATGGATGACAAGATCTCACGGGTGAAGATTTGGTTACAAGACTTCTGGAAGAATTCTAAGGAAATGGAGATCGAAGGGGTCCTATAGTTGTTGTTTTGCTTCTTTTACTTCAGAAGACGTTTTCATTTAGTGTTAATGGTAGTGGTTGGCTTTTGTGATAACGTCTGTCAGGTGTAGTTTCCTCAGTTTTGTTGCTCTCTTATAAGCTGGTTTCCCTAGCAGGATTCAGTTTGCTGTAATAACTTTCTTAAGCTTTCTATAAAAGCTTGGTTTTACCCTCGTCAAAAAAGGCAACGGTGAAGAGCGAGTGAGGCTGCGATCGACAAACCAATAAGGTCATGTGAAGCTATGAAGTAGATCATGCCATTCATGGACAATCAAGCCAAGTGTTGATTTGTGTTGATGGTCAAGTGGCTTGATGGAGAGTGGTGAAGGAACTTCATGCTATGGCCAATGATAAAAGGTAGCGTGGTTAGCTACACTATGGATGATCGGTCTTCATCATTTGATGAATATGGAGGTTGGATGTCAAAGGAAATGGAAAGGAATGTGCAAGGCAAAGGTATACTTGTAGGTCATTTTATTTCACCAGTCTAATAAGGTTGAGTAGAGAAGTACTTGACCTAGTTTAGGGTAGATAGTCATACTATCAAGAGGGGCATTCTTGTGAGCTAAATGGTTATCTAGTGCCACTAGGTGAGACTCATGTTGCATTTAGATCGAGTGGTGTGGAAAGGAAGCAAGTGAAAATACTTTGAAAAATATTTTAAAAATGATAACTCGGTGCTAAAGTGTTGGTGTTCATGAGGAACACATTTGGAGTTAGCACACTTGCGAAAATTGGTTTGAGAGCTACACATGGTTGTGTTGTTTTGCACTCACCGGAGCCCCCCAGTGTGCACTAGAGTTGGTGCACTGAAGGTTCTCCAAACAATGCATATTGTTTGGCTAAAAATGTGCTCACGCGTTACCTTCCTATGTGCACCGGAGTGCATGCATCAGAGGTTTCATATAGTAATCTAACAACGGGCAGGAAACAACGTTTGAATGCATAAGTGCTCTCCGGTGTGCATCAGAGAGTAGTGTAAGGAAAATGGACCCTTGGCCCATTTACTTTGGATTTTGGTGTTTGATGATCAACACAACCAAATTGGACTAATGAAGTTGCAAGTGATTGGTTCGTAGTTCAATAGGATGCAAGACGTGACTTGGACGAAGGCGACGTGATGATCCGATGATCAACACTATAAGCAAGACCCTAGAAGCACAAGAGAAGACCCAAGATATCAAGCAAAGTCCAAGCACAAAGATAGGAACCAAGCCATACGCAAGATCGCGAAGAAATGAGCTCACAGAAGTGACCGAACGCTGGAGGAAAGTGATCGGACGCTCCGATCAAGAGGCTCGGCAATAGGCGTGATCGGACGCTGGCGGCAGATCAACCGGACGTAGGATAGCAGAGTTCGGTCGAGTACAGAGAGGTTCTAGAGCGGTGAAAATGCGACCAGACGCATCCGGTGGCATGTGACCGGACGCTAACAGCGTTCGATCAGTGGATCATGACTCCAACGGTCAGGACGATCAGACGCGTTCGGTCAGGACGTGATCAGCGTCCGGCCAGTAGCAGAAAAGCGGGATTTCGTCCCCAACGGCTACTTTCTCAGTGGGGCTTATAAATAGACCCCCAACCGGCCATTTGAGGTGTGTGGAGCTGAGAAAACATATCAAGGGTGTTGATACACCATTTTAGTGATCTCCACTTGCATAGTGCTTAGTGATTCATTAGGTGATTAGCGTAGGTGTTTTACGAAGTGCTTAGGTTGATTAGACCACCTGTTGGATAACATAAAAAGGGGTAACCTAAGCAAGAACTAAAAAAATTGCTTAAACCTTGTAAATAACGAAACCAAAATATAACCGTAGGCAAACCCGCCACATCCGAGGCCCGGCTGGATCGTCCGGCCCACCTCGAACAAATATCTAGGCTCGAACGAGGCCCCACACCGCAGGGCCTCGAACGAGGTATCGATTCTCCGACTCCCCCGAGGCCCCACACCGTAAGGCCTCGGACGAGGTATCGATTCTTCGACTTGCCCGAGGCCCCGCGCCACGAGGCCTCGGACGAGCACCCAGTTACCGACTCACTCGAGGCCGCCTCGGCATCAACCCTGTCACCACCGCATTGACTGACTTCTCTGACGAGATGTCACATCCAACTAACACGTTCAACCACTCCCGCGACGTCAGCCACACGGCGGCACGGTACAGTGGAGTGGTCGACGAGACTAGAGTCACATCGACCCCATG